TCCCCACATCCCCTGGCCTCACAGACCAAGGTGTGATGCTTTCAGGGCGTGTTTAAAAGTTCCTCCATCCCAAGCAGTTCAGATGTTGAGTATTCCCTGATTACATAGTATTTGGTACCGGGTCATTATTAAAGTTCCACCTACATGCTGGAGTGAATATCCCCCTTCCTTTGTGCCAAAGGTCAATCCCAAAAGGTATCTTTAATCATCTTCAGCTCATTCTTTTCCTCCTTGTTATCCAGCTTTTCTCACAGGCTCCAAGCTTTTGGATCTCAGGAAGAGCTCCTCAGCACATATCTAATTTGCATTCTCTTGCCATTGCATCTTGCTAGCTATAAGAAACAGCAAGCCAGCGTCTCCATCTCCTCCCTTCTTCTACTTTCCCTGACAAATTGGAGGCGAATGTGTAGGCACAGCCATACATATTTCCCCATTGTAAACCCCCCCCCTTACACAGACGTGTTCTTTTCTGGAAAAACAGCTGAGACTTATTTACATGACTCATTTACCCACAACACAAGCCATGCAACTGGTGCCACTGCCTGCTTTCAATCCCAAATATGATACTTCAGGGATTGCAATGCACCTTCTATTCACCAGAGGTTCAAGGGGCACCCCCACATTCACGTGGTAGCTCATCAAGGAAACACAGCACTCCTTATCATAGAGAAGACGGCTACCCTAAGATTCCCCAGGGACACCCATTCTCTGACAGCCTTAGCCTTGCTTGCATGTCCTCTCACTCATCTCAAAGAGCATGCGACCATCATCACCTCAAGGAGGCACATAGGCACATCACCTCATACCGCACGGGACAAAGAGCCAGGGGGAACTGCCCGCTACACAGTTGCTCATCTCACACAGATTGGCCGCGTATGTCAGTATACAAAGCAGGATCATGCAACCACTCCTTCCCACGCAGGGGCCATGCAGCCCCCTCTCCCCAATGCAGGGACAGCCATATAGCCACCCCTCTCCAGTGCAGAACCATATAGCCACTCTTCCCCAGTGCAAAGGCCACGCAGCTGCTCCTTACCAGTGCAGGGCTGCCTGGCTTGAGCCCTGCTTCAACTGCCTGGCATGGTCAGACTAGAGAAACTTAGCATAGGCAGGACCAAAAGTGGATCCCAGCAGCACCGGAAAGAAGGCCCAGGAGACTGTGTCAGAAGATAGCTCATTTATTTGGAGGAGGCAAGGGACATTTATACCCTAAGAAGAACCGCTGGTTGAATTCATGTGGTGTTATTGGCTGGGGCAAGAACATGGAGGGCACTTCATTTGCATACCCGGGAGTAACAAGAGACAGGAGAAGGAATTTATAGGGTCATATAGGAAGCCCAGCCCTTGTAAGGCCAGCCCCTATAAGGACTTCTTATCTGACCAGGCAGTCCCTGTAGCCTTGGAGACGTATGAGCTTACCAATTGCTATGTGTATCTGGGCACATCTGCACTTGGGGAAGTCTATCTGCCGGGGTCTGCCAAACTCCTGCCACACTCCGGGTGAGAAAATCTGAGTTTGGGGCATGCTTCGACCCCTTCTTGGCTTCACCAAGTCACTCGCCCTCTACTCACCTGCGGTTCTCTCAGTCCCTGTTCATGTGCCAATTGTGCTGTGTGACTTTTCCCCAGATGGCACAAACCAATGTCTACCGTAACACAGAGGTCCCGGATGACAGAGTCAAGAAACACCTCCACTCAAGTCTAGCTCAGTGCACCAGAGAGTTTATTGCGACTTCCAGGAATGTGAGTAGGGAGCACACATGACTGACTGAAAGGAAGCTGCTGCTGCATCACCACGAAGCTTCGGTGACGATCAGTTGCATCCCTGGAGTCCCTGCACAAGTAAAGCTGGTGGCTCCTCTGGTAACTTGTCCCCCGCCAATCATATATTCTCGTGGGTGGGAGGGGAGAGGCTTGTGAATCCTTTAGGTTTCAGCTTTCTGAAACTTGGAAGCTTTGTTTTGTTCCCGAGCCTTTTTGTTTGTTTGTTTTGTTTTGTTTTTCAAGACTGTTTCTCTGTATAACTCTGACAATTCTGGAACTCACTTTGCAGACCAGGCTGGCCTCGAACTCACAGAGATCTGACTGCTTCTGCCTACCAAGGGCTGAGGTTAAAGGCATGCACCACCACATCCAGCTTAGCTCCCAAGTCTTAACCAGCTTTCCTCTCCTCCTGGGAGGGGAAGCTTCAGTCTGAGGAACTTGCTATACCATAGCTCCATTCTCTGATGCTGAGTCCTCGCCTCACCTTAGACAGGAACAGAGAAGAGGGCCAAGCAGGAAGTAGTGGCCAATGCAAGATGAAGCTGTCCAGGATTTCTCTTCCAACCAAGCCTGCCTTGTACCATTCCACCTTCTGACAGTCCACCGAAGGTTGAATCCTGTCAGTAGGTCAGAGCCCTGGGAATCTGACCAGTATTGCAAACACTCTCAGAGACACCCCAGAGGTGACTTCTCCAATCCCATCAATTTGACGATCAAAATTAATCACAACAAGGAAGTTCTAGGTGAAGGTAAGATCTGCTCCCTGTTTCATAGACACTGTCTTTTGCTTGTTTCCCATGGCACAGCAATGAGGGGCTTCTCAGCCTCTCTACAAGGGCACGAAGTCCACTCCTGGGAGTCATCCTTCACGGTCTCTTAACGGTCTCTTCATGGCCCTACCTCATCTCGAGGCTAGGAGCTCTGTGTGTGTGTGTGTGTGTGTGTGTGTGTGTGTGTGTGTGTATCTGTGTGTCTATCTGTGTGTGTCTGTGTGTGTGTCTGTGTGTGTGTCTGTGTGTGTGTGTCTGTGTGTGTGTGTGTCTGTGTGTGTGTGTCTGTGTGTGTGTGTCTGTGTGTGTGTCTGTGTGTCTGTGTGTCCCTCACTCTCTGCTTTTCTTCCTGGTTGCTAACCCTTCCTGGCTCCCCTAATCCATTCTATTCTCTTCCTTGGCATGAATGCTGAGAATGATCTTCTGCCTTTGGAAGTAGAGTTTATTTCACATTGGAGGTTGCATCATGATGGGCACTGTATTTACTTTTAAGTGTACTTAACTCATCCAAGAGCTAATCAAATTGAAGAATTTATCAAATAAAGACCCATTCGTGCATACAACAGTTCCCCCTTTTCCCCTGTTACTTCTTCTCGACACACTTACATTTAGGATATTTGTACATTCACAAGATATGTGTCCTAGACCCCAGGGTCCCGGAACACCCACACGCCGGGTGGCCCGTTACACCCTGGTAGCCTTCCCGTCACTGTGAGGGTGGGGAGACACTGCCCTTGGCCCTGGTCTCTGCCCCTGTAAAGGACCCTCCCTCTGGCTCAGTTCATTCCCATCCTTTCGGGCTAGAAGGCCCTCTGTAGGCAGGGCTGGCTATGCCGGCTCCGCAGCTGGCTCACATGTGTCTCCTTGGCTGCTTCAGAGCTCCTCCTTCTTTTCCAGCATGTTCTGTCCTCCACACTTCTTGGTGCCTTTGAGAACAGCCCTTTGTTCACTATCAAGAGGGCTCTGCAGTCTCTTCAGTTTGGATGTTGCCTCCCACCATACTCGGCCAAAGCCCTACTCAGAAAAGGAATAGAGAGCCGAGGGAGGTGGGCAGATTCGGAGACAGTACACAGGATCAATATGGAGGGGTGAAGACACAGGCTGCATTGCCACCAGGCTAGTGGCATTGGGCCCATCTGGCTTGTAGAACAGAGTTGATAGACTGGAAGATTCTGGGTCCTTCTGCAGCAAACTATATATATATATATACTCAGTGATAATTGTCTTTGGGTAGTAAAATATTAGAAGTGTTTTGTTGTTGTTTGTTTTTGTTTCTCTGCATTTTGCAAATAATCTTCACTAGAATTACAAGGGGGAGTGTTGTGTCATGTGTGTTCACATGCACAGAAAGTTTGTAAGTCTACAAAGAAATGAAAACATTTCTTAAAAGAGGAAATGAAAAAAATTTAAAAGGCAAGGGGTAGGAGCTCAGCTGGAAATCTCAATTCAACTACAGTAGTTGGGGGTGGGCAGCAGCATGAGTTAGCCTCCAGGCTGAAAATCTTTGTACATTCTTCTGGTGCCATCTGCTGACTACTATAGGAAATGCAGCTTAATTTAGTTGGCTGCGGAGCTGAGAATTGGAGATGCCACCAACAGCAGTGGGGTCACATGAAAACCGCATTGCAGACAATCTTACCCATCCTCACCTACAGAACTCACTTTTAATTTTGCTTTTCCGTAGTGATCATAACAGGAACACGCCGCTAAGTCCCAATGTTCAAGGCCTTGAGACAGTCACCCGTACCTGAGAGCCTCCTACCATTGGGTGGAGGCATGTTCTAGCCCCTCCTCCTCACTACCTGAGCATCTGAGGTAGTGAAGGCCCTTGAGGGAATACACTTTCAGTGCACGGTTAGTTTCTGCTCCATCTAGCTCTACCTCCTCAGTTTTCACAGGTCTGTGACCTATTGGCCTTGGGGCTAACCTTGATCCTCAAATGTCCCTAAGGACCCCAAACAGCCCAAAGTTCTGGGAAGTCCTCGAGTTTGTCTCTATACTCACTCCATCCTGCTTTCCCACCTAACTAGAAGCCTAGTAACTCTTCCACTTTCATGGGCTCCAGCTACAAGGCGTTAGGGGCAGGCAAATGCCAGTCCTTAATTTCCTCTTCCCTTAGAGGCTGCCTGAAAGGCCCCTTGCCGCTGGAAGCTTGTCTGAAGGGGCAGGACAACAGATGTGTCCAGGGAGGCTTTCTTAAGCCCCCTTGCCTGCTGGCAGTGGAAGTCACCCAAGCTGTAGTTCTGAATACTGTTCTCAGGTCGTTTTTTAACTTCAAGATCTTCATGCGGTTTCATCAGTGAAGAGTAAGGAGCTTCCAGGATGGAGGAGTGACCCGGGAGCCCTTGATTGGTCCTGCCACGCAGGGAAGGGAAGGCTGCCTTGTTTGGAGGGCGGTAGAGCTCCCCCCACTCAACCCCCCCCCCCCCCCCCGCTGCCGCCATCCCCTACCCCGCCCAACAACAGCGCCTATATAGCTGAGTGGTGGCCTGGGGAAAGTGTTCCGGAGAAGTGCAGGCTCCAGGTTCCAGAGGTCACAGGAACAGAGAATCGAGGTAAGTGGCAGGGGTTTCCCAGCCTAAGCAGTGGCTTGTGACTTCCCTTCCTGCCGCTGGGTGCCAGGCAGGGAAGCTTTGGGAGCAGCTACCCCTGCGTTCCTATGCTCTGATGCTACTGGGAAATGCTACTTCAGGGCTAACTGGCGGGAATTTCGTTTCTGCTTTTAAACCCTTATCTGTGAACACTAAGTCCTTTCTCAAGAAATCTGTGCTTTCATTTAAAAAAAAATATTTACTCACTCAGACATCTTCCATGATATTGCTCTTATTTAAGACCCATGGTCTGATAACATGCGGTATGCCCCTTTTGGGGAGACCAATGTGCATTTACTTCATACTTAGACCTCTTTGGGGAAAAGTTGGTTTGCGTTCACTGTGATCCGTCGATATGGGAGGTGCCGGGGGCTGGGTACTTTACCCACCCAAGGGCTGAGCCAGGCAGTGTCCACAAGGGGGGGGCAGTGAGGACCCTCTGCATCCTCCAGAAGCTGCAGGGTGTGCTCTCAGGCTAGGATAGGCTTGGGTCTTGTTTTGGTTTTTGTTTGTAAAATAAGCATCAGTGTCACCCCAGAGTCAAACACTGTAACAGGAGCACGGGGCCTGTCTGGGGAAGTCTGCTATGGCACTCCAGGGACCCATAGTAAGTCTTCATCTAGTGACAGCCCTGCCCCACTGTGCTGTAGGAATCTCCCTATGGCCCTGGTCAACGCAAAGGGCTTGGTGCTAGGGCACTCTGGTGTTGGTTTAGGATGGATTTCCACAGTGGCTAGCTTCAGGAGCAAAATGTCACAGCTGGTACAACTGGTGATGATGAGGATGTGGGAAAGTCCCTGAGATCAGCAGCTCTTTGGACCGTGGGATAATCTTGGCAGTCTCCCAAGTCTTGCTAACATCCCTTTCCTCCAATGCAGCCGTTATCCAACTTCCTAATGCCTCAACCCTGCAATACAGTTCCTCGTGTTGCGGTGACCCCCAACCATAAAGCAATTTTGTTGTGACTTCATAACTGTAATGTTGCTACTGTTATGAAATATAATGTAAATAAATGATATGCAGTATATAAGATATGTGAGCCCAGAGGGTTGAGAACCACTGTTCTAATGTCTCTTGAAACCTTTCAACAGCCCTGATTTCTGTTGGCTTAGGAGCCATCATGCCCCCAGAGACACAAACCATTAGTAGCACCGGCCCCTGACTTCCCCAAGGGCTGTGGGACAGTTAATGGTATGTGCTCTCGGAATCACCATTGAATTCAAGTTGTCCACCTACTACAGTGCAGCTCAGGGAAAATTACTTTATATGTCTGAATCCCAGAACAAATTCTTATAAAAAATTGAATAAAAGTACTTTATCCTTGTGAGAATTAGATCATATCACAGAAGGGTTTGAAGTAGTAGCTAACATTTAATAAGTGTATGAATAAAAGCTATTAGGATGAGCAGAGGGCACACATTGGCCCCAGGGTGAGATTGGAAAAGCTACCAACAGCACAGTTTGATGGTGATGCAGAAGACGGGGACCTCTGGCTGCATGCCCATCTTCCCTTCCCCCTCCATCATGACCACCTCCTCTCACTGACCTCTTAAGAATCAGCAGCAAGTTTCTTACAGTGGACAGTGGACTGTGTCTGGGACAGTGCCAACTCGGGGCAATAGAAAATAAGGAAGAGCAAAAATACAGCCTAGATCAGGCCCTTTGGTTCCAACTCTTACCTCTCAGGGGGTATTCGCTTGAAAGACCTGGGCAACACAAGGGAAAGCTGCCTTCATTGTGCATCAGTTTTCCTATGCATGGTCAACAGCTTTCTAATGGCACCTTGCGGTCTCATTTTCCCAAATAGCAGAGCACAGACCAAGGGGAGTAATCTCTATGCAAAACAAAGAAAGCCGGTAATGACCTTAGCCCTAGGACCGTGCATGGGAGAGACATCATTGTGAGCTGAAGCTTCCTTTGAAATCTGTCACCTCTTGGAGGGTGAGAGGCCAAGGCCTGTGGGAAGGGTGACAACCCAGTCTTTCCGTTACAGATTCTCACACCATGAGGAACCGTCTGGGTACATGGGGACTGGCCATCCTCTGCATGCTGCTTGCAAGTCACCTCTCCACGGTCAAGGCAAGGGGCATAAAGCACAGGTTCAAGTGGAACCGGAAGGTCCTGCCCAGCAGCGGCGGCCAGATCACCGAAGCCCGTGTGGCTGAGAACCGTCCAGGAACTTTCATCAAGCAAGGCCGAAAGCTGGACATCGACTTCGGAACAGAGGGCAACAGGTACTATGCCACCAACTACTGGCAGTTCCCGGATGGGATCTACTATGAAGGCTGCTCTGATGCCAATGTGACCAAGGAGATGCTGGTGGCCAGCTGCATCAATGCTACCCAGGCGGCCAACCAGGCTGAGTTCTCCCGGGAGAAGCAGGATAGCAAGCTCCACCAGCGAGTCCTCTGGCGGCTGATCAAAGAGATCTGCTCCACCAAGCGCTGTGAATTCTGGCTGGAAAGGGGAGCTGCACTGCGAGTCACTGTGGACCAGCCAGCAATGGTCTGCCTGCTGGGTTTCATTTGGTTCGTTGTAAAATAAACAAGGCTGGCAGCCACAGAGGTGAGCCGGCAGAGGTGGACAGAGGTACCCCAGTCCTCCCTCTCTAGTCCCCAGTGTCCTGAAGTTACCAATGGGTAGCAACTCATGGCACTTCAAAAGTCTCTCCCAAGTACTCCCCTCCCCAGCGTGTGTTTAATAAGGCGTTTCAGTGCCCCCATGCCCCACCCGGATAGGACCTGACTTGTTCCCACTTTTGCAGCTACAATAGGTGATAGACCAACCAAAGAATGCAGAAACTGCTGTGCACTGCACCTGATTCCCTGCTCATGGGGGTAGCCAGGAAACTGAGGTTTACATTGCTGTAGTCGCCATCCAGTACAGACAGGAAGCAGCCGAGCTGGGGTTCCCCTGGTCTGTCTTCCCTCAGGTTTTCTGCTCAGGATAGCCCAGAGCTGCTCAGGAGCACTTCAGGACTCACAGGTACAAGCCCAGGCCTGTGTGTGGAGTGGAAGCCACACCCTGAAAGACGCAGGAATCCCTGAGCAATAACTGTGCGTCTTGACACCCTTCGGTGAGACTAAAATATTACAAAGACGCTAAACTAAAGCAGACATTACACTAGAAATTGTAGGGAATATTTGCCGCTTACTTCCCAGAGAGCAACTTCAGGACAGGATGTGTTTGTGGTGTCTAGAGTCTCTTCCACAAGGGCTGGTGTTTGCTGCTCTGGCCCCTGCAATGATCTGCAAGAAACCCCTTGTAAATGACGTGTTTGCATCTTGGTTTTTTATTTCTTTGTTTGTCTAGGTGGGAGTCTCTATATATAGCCCAGGTTGGCCTCAGACTCACAATCTTCTAGCCTCTACTTTCTGAATACTGGGACTGCAAGCATGCCACTAAGCCCAGGTGTTCCCTGGTCCTGTGTGTGTGTTCTTAGTTATCCCAAGAGCATCTTTAAATATGTCCCCTTTGCTTTGTACAGAGCTCTCTCCAATCATTATCAGTTTTTGAACCCACTCTGGTAAGGGCTAATCTCTGTGAATCAGTTAATACTCCAAAAGTATAATTACTGGCCAAAAAGCCTGAGAATGGCATCTTTTGAGAGACCAATAAAGAATCTGTCATCACCAGAATTGATATGTTCTACCACTTTGTGAACTTAAATATATATTAAAATATGACTAATATTTAACTTTTTTCAAATCTAACTTTTAAAGATTCTTCTACAGGCTCTCCTCCCCTTTCAGGCCCCCCCTCCCCGGGAGTTGCTAAGCAGTATCTGGGTGTATTATCTTTTAAAAGGAGCAGCTTCTGTGGGGGTGAGGGTGCAGGGGGACACGCATGTATTGTCAAAGGATTCATCTGCAGCGTTTCAGAGCATGAGTGCTGATTAACAGTGCCTCATGTGCCTCGTTCCCACGGCTATCAGTTCTTCTCAAGGACACCTCTGGGAGTCTTCACATGGTAAAGGGACATCAGGCAGGCAGCCCAAGGACACGGAGCCTTCCCCTGGACCTTTCACCGCTGGTCAGACAGTGCAGAGAAACCAGCCCGCTGGAATACGCTGCTGCCAGTATGACCACACCTCCTTGGCTCCCGCTGTCTGCTCATCCTAAACCATAGAGCAAGGAGAAGCCCAGAACACAGTTTCTTCCTTGCATGCCATTTTAGACATCAGGCAGTAAAGAAAGAATGGTTCTTAGATGGTGGTGTTGGAGTTTCCGCTCCTGACTCAAGGCTTAATCAGCAGGGTGGGCGCACAAAGCTGTTCTTAGCCACCAACCTCATTCTGATGAGAAAACACTTAGGCTGGACATAGTCCATGCTCCGTGGTTACTGTGTTCTCTCGTGCTGTTAGTTGTCACACCCAGAAGACTTAACTATGACAGCAAATGAGTGTTCATGGTGATTTGACTGCAAATGTTGCCTTTTTATTTTTTAGCTGTCCTTGCTCTTACAAATCAGAATGAGGACATTCATGTCTGGCTTTGGCTTAGGCAAGAGTTTACTGGTTTCCCCTTAAGAACAGGGCCCCTTAAGGCACTTCTAGATTATTCCAGTGGTGACCTGACAACATGAACAATTTCACCAGCCATTGTTTTCTTATCCCTTCCAAGTGTTACCAAGTCAGAGTGTGTGTGTGTGCATGTGTGAGTGTGTGTGTTATGTGTGTGTGTTTGTGTGTGTGCATGTGTGTGTTTGTGTGTGTTTATGTGTATGTGTGTGTGTATGTGTGGGGGTGAGTATGTGGGGGGGTGAGTGTGTGTGTGTGTGTGAGTGTGTGTGTGTTGTGTAACTGCTCAGGAACTGCAGCAGAGTACATCCAATTACATTACAGCTGTTTTCCCTTCTCCTGACTCTCCAGTCGTTTATTCATTTGCAAATGCAAATATGGAAATTTGCAATCCTACCTAATTCAGGGCTCTGGATACCTTAAAGTTTAACTTAACCTCATTTATTGCTTTCTGTCCATTTTCTTAATGACCTTTGTTTTCTTGTTTCTCCAGTCCCACATCCTCCTTCTACCCTAGTTTGAAACCTGTACCCCTTTACTGTGTTTAAATATAAAAATACAAGAGTTTTTATTTTGCTTCATTCAAACCTTTAAAATACTGCAATCATGTGTATAATATTTGCTTCTTTGCAGTTTTCCTTCCTGATTTAATAGAATTCTATTAAACTCTCTGGATCAATATCTGACTAGTTAACATGTCCTTCTAGATAACTGAAAAATTCCACAGTACAGACATGCTGTGACTGACTTAATAATTTCCTTGTTGATAAAACTTCAAATTGTTCTTACCTGGCAAACAATAAACACCCTTCTACAGACAGCCACAGTGCCTTGTGATTTTATTTCGGTAGAAAAAAAAATCACTTCCCCAGAATCCCCAAAATAAAGTAGATCTGTAACTCAGCCTTTACTAGGCATCCCTGGCTGTGTGGGGACATGGCTGGTGATGCCCTCCATCCCAGCAGTGTGAGAATGATCCCTTTGGAGTGAGAGAAGCTTATGTTCACTCCAATGCTCTCCCTGTACCTGCTGTCCCCCTCAGCAGATGACACAAAAGCTTTCTGGGACCCTGAATATCATTCAGACGTCACAAAGCCATCAACATTGTCCACTCCAGACCTGGTGTTTGTCTCAAAACATCAGGAAGAGAAATCTGAAAATTAGGCAGTGGGTCTATGGGCCTTTGGGCTCCATGCCCCCAGCAAGAGGGGCTCCTGGAGTAGAGTTTGGCCCTGCCCTTTTGATAGATTCAGTAAAGTTGTCCATGCCAGTCCTGCACTCCAGTGAGAATACTCTAGATTGTAAGACACAATAGGACCAGGATGGAGCCCTGTCATAGCAGCCACCCTCCCCTTCCCATTTAGGACAAAGATTAATGAGTATCTCTCTCACGTCCCTCTGTTAGACATGGCCCGGGAGGCAGCTTCCAGCCTGCAGGCTCCTCCCTGGGCCTTGTGAGATGTACCACCAGTAGTAGTTATTGACACTCCCTACCCCACGATCTCAGTATCTGGCTTGGGTAGTGGCACATTGAATCAGGGACCTCAGGGGCTGTTTCACTTGCAGTATGGACACACCCACACTTCTCTCCAGCATTTTCTCCCCATTACTGTGCAAGGTTAGATAAGGGTGCCCTGAGGTGTCTGAGCATTCCCTTATGGAACATTCTGGAGTCTACCAGGGTCTGTACTGAAACACTGGCAGAAGGGCTCATATGCCCAAAGGCAGACAGCATTGTAACAGCACACTTGCCAGGAGAATGGTCAAAAAGACCTCCAATGATATGTCACTGTGACCAGTCCCATTGCCCCACCACTGGACACAGCTCTGTGGAGAGCAGACCTATTGGCAAGCCTGGCCAGGCCAGAAGCCACATGCATGCCCGAGGCTATGAATCAGACAAGCACAAAACAAAGATCCATTTCAGCTGGGCACCCAAACTTCTTGTAGAAGGCAATGACTAGACAAACCCAGCACTGGAAATTCAGGACCTTGCCAAATGGGAGTAAATCAGACCTCCCTGGAACAGTGAGAGTAAGCTCCTCTGCTTGGAGACATCTCTAAGCCCATCCTAAACTGTCCAAAGAAGGCCCCAAGGAAACACTCTCAGCTGGTCCCTTAGCAAGTAGGAGGCATTACTTGGGCTTAGGGGGTCAGGGGTAGTGCCAGCTCTGAACAGAAATAGACACCAAGAATGACCAAGGTCCCACCCTCTGGATCCCAATGCCTGGACACTGTCTGTCACACAAGCATTGAGCTCAGAGATGGCTGGAAGAATTGGTTTCTGTGATATTGTGTTGCAAGCTTCAGACCAGGATAAGCCACATGAGCTGGCCACTCCTCATCCTTAAAGACCCTTCTGGTTGTGCATCTCCCAGTACTCAGTTGTCACCACCTTCCCTGAGATGCCTTCCCTGTGCACTGGTCTCTGTCAGCCCACCCACCTGGGGATTCCCAGATTCTGTTTTGGTGCTAAAACGCTTTTGTGGAAGTGTCACCTTCTTAAACAATGTAGATTGTTCTAACTCCAGCTGACCTGGCCAAAAAGCTGTGGAAGGAAATTATCAGGAGACAAGAAAGGAGCTAGAGGAAGCCGGAAACAAGCAGGTCAGGGCCATAGGTAGTAACCACCACAGCTGGCCTCCCTGGAGGGAGGGAGAAGAAAGAACAATATCGGGCGTTCAAAGAAGCCGACACTCAGGTTCATTAGAGGTCAAGTAAGTACTGGGGATTACCAGAGGAGAGTGTTATCGCGCACGCCCAGCACACATACACACACACACACACACACACACACACACACACACACACACACACACACACACACACACCACCCCTCACTTCCCCACCCCCCACCCCTCCAGCCATAGGCCAGTTCAGCACCTCGGAGAGGGGTTACAAGAACAAAGCAGAGAATAATAGCATTGGGTCAAACAGGCAAGAGCTGAGTTCTAGAATTTCCAAGCTTATAATTAAGCTTCATACATTTTTAGCTGGCTTTTTTTTTTCACTCTGTACTACCTAG